CAGACAGTGAAAGTCTAGTGACAAAAAAAGAGCACATATGTAAGACGACGATTCATACAGTCCGCTGTTAAACGGACCAAACTGTCTAACTAGGTTTGATTGGTGGCACTGTCTGTTGTCGGACGAGTGGGCTCCGTATGCTGTCTGATGAGCCGCGCTGTCTTTGTCTGGCGCACCGCATTGCCTGCTGTCTGACAGAACTCACTGCCTGCTGTATGACAGGCGAGGCCTCTAGGGCTGCTGTATGACAGAACTGACTGCCTGCTGTTAGCTGTATGACAGGCCGTTTTATCTGACAGACAGGTGATGCGGTGACAAATGTCTGTCCGTCCGCGGACCGGTCTCCCACAGGTGGTCACAGGACGGGCCAGCCAGGTGGCTGCCCCGCGCGGGGGCCCCTGCAACAAGTGGTGCCTACAAATGGAGCCAGCCCGCCGCCCATTCGAGGAGGGGACACACGCGGACACACCCCATGTTGGCAAACGTGCCTGGCGTCGGCGAGGCTAATACGCTGGCGAGGCATGTCTCTTTGTCCCATTCAGGTGTGTGTTGGGCGGGAAAAATGGTGCACATATAGGAATGATGTGATTGGTTTGAGGTGTTGCGTGTCAGTGGCGAAGAGACTTTTCCTTTAGCGGTTTCGGTAGCTGTGCAAGACTTCCAGCACATTTCACAAAAGTCGGTCGAGGAGAGTGGTACTTCAGTGTTAGGGCCCGCATTTCAGCGGATATCCGCATCGGCTGGCTCATGGCTGTGTTGAGTTATACTCAATAGAAAAGGAAACAGCTCTCTGAGCGTGACTGATGGGTCTCAGGTCTGTCTTCTCCTCGTCAGCATTGACTCCGCTTTTCAGAGGAAAGCGGCTTTTCCTCTGGCATTCAGTATGACTATCGTAAACGAAACCCGGTAATGGCCTGTGAACCGTTCACGCTTTCTCAATGACGAGCTGACGAATTCACTGGACAATGGACTATCAGACACCGTCACTACCCTCACCGTCACCGTCACCGCCACTGCCACCGCCCCCCCCCCCCCCACCGCCACCACCGCCGCGGGGCCAGAGGTCAGGGGAGAGACCGTTCACCGTCCCATCGCCGCCGCGGCAGCGCGCTAGTCAGTGCCGCCCGCTGTCGTAACAGGCGCCTCGGCACGCGCCTTGGAGATGTACGGGAAAGATTGCAGCTTTCTACGAAGCCGCGCTACCGCCCCCCGCCGATGGATTGTGTCAGACGGTGGCTGCCAGTGATGACGGGCCGATTGAGCAGAGGTGATGGTGATGACGGCCTGATTGAGCAGAGCTGACGGCGACGACGGCGATGATGCTGTTGATTTGAATGCAAGTGACGGTGATGACGATGATGATGAGTCGATAACGGTGGCGACAGTGGCAATGGTGGTGGTGGTAAATGGTAATGGTGGTGGTGGCGGTAGTGCAAGATTGATAAGTTTGGTGTCATGCTGGTGATGGTGAGGCTGATGTCCGTTATGATAGCCAATATGTTAAAGGGCATGATGTGACGGCGATGAGGCCTCAATAAGCATCAGTGAACAGACTACAGGAAAGACAGAAGCAATATCCCGCTGACCTCTGATGGTGGACCTGCCAGCCACATTCCTTCTCTGTGGTCCCGGGCAGGTTTTTATCAATGATCGGTGATGCAATCCAACACTGCAGCTATCGACGAGTCCCGTCCGAGTGTCGCCGATACTGCCGGGGCAGGCGCCCACCGGGCATACGACATCGTCGAGAGGCACCAAACAATAAACCAGATAAGATACCGATGAGGAATGTCGTTTCTGCAACTGACGACGTGTGAGTTTTCGGTGGGTTTAGCAGGAATCGCGACATGTTGCAGGATGCAGTTGCGCTGTGCTTAGCAACCAGTACAAGAGAAGGTGGTCGGAACTCTAATGATGTATTCGCAGAGGCAGTCAAGGCTCTGCAGGATGAAGAATAAGTAAATGCCAACAATGTGCAACAATGCCAAGAGGAAGGTACAACCAATGGTTCCATGTCTAGTTCAGTGGCTGCTCTCTAGGATATGATCAAAATAGCCTTTAACACAATGGCAAGGACATCGCCAGTGGCATTGAGTTCATCAGTATCGTCACATCACCAATCTTTGTGGCGGTGAATGGTGATAATTGAAGTTGCGTCACCGTGCTGAGATGGTTCTGCCGAGGGAGTGGTGAAACGCGGGCCTGGCGGGCCATCGATAAGGTCAAAAATAGAGGCGTAATTGCAACAGACCTGAACGCATTCAGTGGGTACTTTCGGGCCGCCGTAATCGTATACTGCGCGCATCACGCATTGCTGATCATTGGGGATCATTTTACAAATCGCCTCATATAACAATTACGCCATAAGCTAAATCCGGTGTGCTGTTGGGTTGTCTTATCCATATCAGACCCCAGTTCGTGCTTAGGCACACTTAATCATACATATTTCTACGGCCTCAAGTCAAATAACATCACAGTATCGCTGCAGCTCGACCATCTTCGGTGCATTTTTGGACACTAGCCGTCTACGACGCAGTTTTGTCCGACGCCAGATCAACCCACAGCGGACACAGCTGTCCCACGCTTCTACTATCTTGTTGTTTATAAGACCTTTCCGTAAGTGGCTCTAAGGCCCAACCTATGAGAAGAGTTGTATGAAAACGTAAGACTTAACTATAGACGAATAAACGCGCGTCTTGTCAGCTTTTATAATGACCCTGCAAAGAGCCTCTCGTTCAAGACATTGTCACTCGTCTTTGAAGCGCATGGCTGGCCGGCCGGGTGGAGCACAGTTAGACGGTAACGTTCCGTGACTGAGCTGTACCTATTTACGCAGGCTGGCAGTTGACGCGGTGATTTGCCATGGACGGCCGATCAGAAGGAACTGTTCATATTCACGACGGGACGCTGTCTGGAAAACGTCTCAGGTGAAGTGACTGTAGGCTAAGTTGGTGGGAGGTGCAGGTGGTGGGCGGTGGGATGGTGGGATGGTGGATTACGATGGGTTGGTGGACGGTAGGGTGGTGGGTGGGATATAGGAGGGGGCATGGGACACTGAACGGGAATAGTGCAGGATTTATTCTGACGTGACGCCCATCCGGTCGCTGGGGTGGACGCTCGGGTGGGACGGAACGGGTGGGGCCGGAGGGTGGGGCAAATAGATGACACTGACAAACATGGTATGGGAGCGTTGGAATCGCTGCATGCATCGAATAAAACTCCGCGGTGTGCCCACACTGCAGCCCACGGCTCGGATCAATCGGTTGCACAGGTGTACTGCTCTCCACGGCAGCCCGTTCATGACAAAGACTTCAGAGACGGTGAATGAACCTCTGACCTCCACCGGCTGAACAGAACACGATCTCCAGTGGACAAACACGGCGACAACATAGCCGAAGGTCGCACCAACTGCAGTCACAGAGGAAAAACAGCGGCCGGACGTGTCTACACAGGCACTCCAGAGAGAATGTCCAGCTGTTCAACATTGCACAATCGTGCAGAGCTCATTGCCCGCCGACGACGCGGCACCTCGGTCGGTCACTTGTCAATGCCTGTCAATCGGACTCCAGCCGTCAAAGGAAGGAAGACAAACGATGTTCAATGACGTGTTTTGACAGGTAACGAGTGCCTGTTAATTAATATTAGACACAAATACCGGGTGGGATCATTATTCACTTCCGGCGACGTTGCCGGACGCTCCGGTTTTTGCCGTCGCCGTTTGAGGGAAAGATGGGCCAGTCTCCAGACTGATAACCATCTTTACCTGTCGATATTTATGTAACTAAGGACAGGAGACTATAGAGGTAATTAAAAGCCGACCAGAACAACTACGCATCCACTTTAAACGTATCCTTTCAACAACATCCGACAATGTAATAAGACGACGAAAGTTTGGACGGTCTGACTATATATACGAATTCATGCAGCGTATCAGACGGTTTTCATCAGGGTTCAGGGAGGGGACATGCCCTGGCATGGGCTAGTAGGTATAAAAGATCCTCTCTGGTTAGTGGAAGTCCTCGGTACTTTGTTATGCTCAAAGGTTCAAATAAGTGCGTGACGCCTTCATTGGCACCCCAGGAAAGTGTCTTCAAAACACGGCCTTTGGTCTGTCAGGCGCAGACTTGTTTCACCATGCCAATTCACCGTATGTTCGCCGGAGTTTACAAATCACAAGAGACATGATGGATGAGGAACGAACAGCGATGCTCTTGATTCGTCCGCGAGCCTTCTTTCTACGAATCAGACACAAACAAGTGCTTCTAGAAGATCGACGGCTGGGCGGAGAGGTGCACATTCCTCTCATCTCATGTGACAGCCGAGTAAGGCTAATTATAGGGAACATAAAGCCGATCAATAAAGCGTATTTGACCATTCCGCCCTAGTGTAGCCTTTTCTCCATCGGAGGGAGGACATTTATCTTCGTCCCCATGTATTTTCATCAATCGTATACAAACCGATCACTTTGACGGGCCCATAACAGACCTCAAGCGCAGTTCAATATAGAAAAGCCCGTTGGGGGCGTTACTTTAGCGAATGAACATTAGCCAGCGCTGCAGTAGCACCAGTGATGGGTAAAAAGGGGAGGGGGGGGGGCAAATGTCCCAGCTCGAAATGTCTATTTCCTCAAGACGGTTAAATGCCCTTTGCGATTGAGACGCTCAATCGCCTGTGCTTGCAACTAAACTGCCGGAATGAAACCCTAACAATGCATGATACGCAACATGTTAGGGTAAGTCATAATCATTCGGAAAATGAATCGCGAGAACTGTAAAGGGCGGCATATATCACTTTCTGATTGTAAACGTAGGGTTCTTATTCGGCGATAAGAGACTCGAGCACGCATGAACTTGTCAAACAGAGGGTGCCAATAGCCACATCAATACATCATGACATGACATGAGCTATCATGTCAGCTCATGTCATGAACTGTCATCCAAGTAGGTTTAAACGAACACAACACATAAAAACCAGTCATTACAGCAGAGCGTGCGACCTACCTGGCTCTGGCAGAGGTTCTTCTCCCGGTGGTCGGTTTAATCCTCCCAAACACGGCCGTACATTGCCCTTACGGACCGCCGTCCGTCAAACACTCAACACAGTACTGTCCCGCTCCCCACAACTGCGGCCCTCACCGCTTCACTGTCAGCTGATTCTGGCCGACCCTCCCCCAGCCCTCGCCGGCTGACAGTAGCGCCACAGGCGGTGGGAACGAGCAGCTTTGGTTTCGAGGTCCGCCGTCTACGAGCGCCAGGGCGGCGCGGCGGTAAGGAGAAGCTTTAGTTGGGGAGATCTCCACAGTGATGAGGGCGCTAGCAGAGCAAAACTGACCTGAGCGCCACAATAGTACAGCGGATAATTTAAGAAGCTATAGTTGGATGAGAAACCACCTGTGAATGCTCTTCGGTAGCTAGCCCTCACGGCAACCGATTCCCTTTCATACATTTGCCGTTCGCACAGGCCGGGTACACACTGCACAAGTTCTCCGAGCTCCTCAGTCTTCCCATGGCCAAGTGATGCCAGCAGGGTAACAGCATTCGATGGTCCCCGAGCATGACTGTCAGCCTTTCCCCTCGAGTGACGCGACCCGGCCACGCTAGATCGATATCCTAAATGTGGTCGGAATTGGGTGACACGCAAAGGGAGACGATTCGGACACATTGCAAATAGACCACGCGACGGATTAGGCTAGGTAGAAATGAATTATATCTGAACGATAAGGGAATGAACACTATCAATTATACCCGATTGTAGAATGATCTGACCCAGTAAAATATTGCTGTCCATTCAATGATGGGAACCAGAGCCCAGAGCGATCCAGCCAATATAGCCAGACAATGCGAACCAGAGTCTGGCGTACAATATGTAAAAGTATTACCACTTTATGTTATATAAGTATTCATATCATTTATCATCGACTTGACTTTTTAGCAACTTAAACGATCTATTAATAACCGTTTGCCTTTTATGTGATCCCATTCCCAACTCATTCCTTGGATTTCATGCAAACGCAGAATCCACAGTTAGACACTAAAGACACCTGCTGCAGTTTTCCATGAAAGCACATTAGATCAGTGACCTTGGTAAGAAAAATATATATTTATGATAAAGCCCACAAAAATATCAAAAAAAATAATAATAATTATAAAATATATAAAAAATAATAATAATAATAATAAATGTGTGTGTGACTGCCCAGGAAACAACAAAGAAGAAAAGAAGAAGAAGCACTGCAAGGCACCTGCGCTTCCAGAGCAGTGCCGTTGCGGCTCGGCAAAAGGCCGGCGAGGCCTATCTGACCGGCCTCTCTGAGGACACCAACCCGTGCGCTGCCCACGCCAAGCACGCCGAAGAACCACAGCTGGCTGCAAGGCACCTGCGCTTCCAGAGCAGTGCCCGTTGCGGCTCGGCAAAAGGCCGGCGAGGCCTATCTGACCGGCCTCTCTGAAGACACCAACCTGTGCGCTGCCCACGCCAAGCACGCCAAAGAACCACAGCTGGCGTATCGCTAACCGCAGGAGGCCTGCCTCCTAGGACAGTCAACCCAACAGGACAGCACGGCCGAAATCGCCCCTGGCGGCAGGCCGACCACACAGAGAAGAAGAAGAAGAAGATGACCTTGGTCATATAATAAGGACATTTTGCATTGTCCTCTCATATTTAAATTCCAAATCTACAATTGATTTATATATTTTGCATGTAAGACTTAGTGCATTTTGGTGAGTGCATTTTGTATGGTTTTGTATTTATCTACTTATTTATACAATGTTTTTAATTATTTCATTTATTGCATCGACAGAGAAGTCGCATGACGATTTGAGGACAATAAGCAAACATGTATCACCGTGGTGTGTATCAGAACTTTTGGTAAAAAAAAATATATGCCGTGTGTGTGTTCACCATTTAACAGTCTGTAACGGCCTGCAAAAATAATAATTATGAATAAAATCAAATCGTTTTTTTCGTATTGCTGATGAATATGTAATACGAAGCCCTGAGAGACACTCCATTTTCTTTCGTTCTTTTTTTTTGTCCGATGGCATCAGCAACACTTGATTGCGTCTGCAATCAACGTCTGTAACCATACATTTATCCGAAAACAGTGCTATTTAGGAACTCCGTTAATTGTCCAAAAAACATCGGCGTGTTTGTAACTACCATTGCGTGGTCGGTACTTTCCTAAGAAAATATCGAAAGTAGCTTCAACTATCCGGCGAGTCACGTTATGTTCTCATTGTGTAATGTGCAGCTATTTTTGTAGGCGATGAAACATGACTATTATGTAAAGAAGCAAGCGTATCAATTGGATGGACGTCTTTAAAAAAAAACATGGGCAATTACTCAGTCTGCAGTCTCATTCAAACAGCCCTTAAAATTATTGAATGAAATAGTTTTAAATGAAGTTGTTCAAATCATATCGTCTCCTCTCTATCTGACTGAGATATGCTACGTAGCGCGTAATACGTATGCATTCATTTACGTTGTTGCTACGAAGTCGCATCCGAAGTAAGCGCTCGTTCATCTTTCAGAGGTAAGTGTCGCTGAAAGAAGTAATAATGGGCAATTCATAGTAAAGTAAACTGAAAATTAGCTGACGCTTGGCCTCTAGCTTCTATCACGCAAGCGCGTAACATAAAGCTACACTGCAAGAAATGTGAATGCTGTGCCGCATTTTTCTGGTGCTCGCTTGGTGTACTGCGTTGCAGTCACCAAGCTCACGGCCATCGACTCTGCGGAACAGAAGATGGGCATATTTATGTATGTATAGTCGACTACAGAATGATGTTCCACTCCTCAGAAGCTATCAGTTAACCGGAGCGCTAAGTTGTGCCGTTTATCACGCAATTAAGCGTGTCGATTGTGAGCATTGGGACAAAGCTATAATTTGTGAACTCAGCCCGTGTGATGCGGCACAGCCTACCACTCCAGGCAAATGATTACCTGAGAAAAGTGGAACATCATTCTGTAGTCGACTATACCTACTTCTGCGATTTATGAAAATAAGCCTCAATGACTATGCAAATTACCAACAGGGAATCATCAAATGCAGATTGACTGTTTCATAAATTTATTGGTAATTAGATACATGTAATTTCATAGTTTAAAACCATGCACAAACATCAATGAAATTTGTATTTATACTTTATTCACGCCTTCCCGTGAGTAAAGGATATTTGATGCACGAGTGGGATCATTTAAACACGAGTGTGTAAATTTCACGAGTGAAACGAGTGAAATTTACACACGAGTGTTTAAATGATCCCATGAGTGCATCAAATATCTTTTACTCACGGGAAGGCGTGAATAAAATCTATTTTAGTATGATTCCCTGCAGTGGCGCAGCCAGGATTTCGTTTCGGGGGGGTCATCGCCTCCAAAGCGGGCCCCCTAGTGTGCGGGCCCCCCACCCATTTTTCAGAATCTTTCCATATTTCATACGCATTCTGCTGAGCGGGCCCCCTTTACCTGCATGATAACCCTGAGCGAGTTTGAATCGGAAAATTTTGATAGAACAATAGCTCGGTAATCACCCGGTGTTCAATTTCCACGTGAATTGACCATGACAAAAATATGTTACTATGACGTATGAATTCGTATCTTTCGAGGCCGAAATGTGCCCCTTCCGCAACATGCATAGCATATATGCAAACGGAACTGTTGTCTGCTTCTGTCGGACAAGATTTAAGCAGTCTCACGTGCCTGTCCTAACTCAGTCATCTATTGGCTGCTGTAGTAGATTGTGCTTTATTCTTCTTCATTACGTGAATTCGCTCACAAGCAGTTTTAACCCTCGCCGGCACAGGGGGAGGGGATGATGCAACCTCCCCCCCTAAGGTTTTTCGCGAACAACTCGGGTAAAAATCGGCCGATCGCGACCAAACTTTCAGTACCCTCGCGTTGATCAGTTTTGCACCTACCCTAGAAATTTCATGACCCTGACCCAAATGGCCTTTGACCTGTGACCTACTTTCCGAGACCATGGTTGGCCAGAATCGCGATTCGGCGTATGCCGGCTCGCATTAGCCGCGCGTTTGCAGTCTTTTCGTGGTTTCAAGCATTCAAACATGTGAGTTGATGCTGCTCCCATGCATTAGGGTGGATGTCAAGGTCACCTGAAGGTCAGGTCAGGTCATTGACCTATGATGACCTCGGTACTTTTTTCGAATTATACATGTTTCCAGGCTAGTTTTTGGAGCTGAATCCGAATTTAGCAACCATTTGAACATTTACGAAGTAGTTTTGGTGCCTTCGTAACATGTTACGAAGCTGCCAGAGGCGGCTGGCACGTAGGTACTACGAATACCCGGCAGGACCCCTACTGGTTGACCTGACCTGACCTGACCCGACCTGGCTTAAATGCATAAAGACATCATCTGTGATCAAAACTAACATGACAACTATTCATGATCAGTACCCCGAAAAACCCTATAGCAGCCACAATTAACGACGTTCTAACAGGTCCCGATTTTCCCGATTTTTCGGTCATTGACCTGACCTGGAAGGTCAACCAATGACCAAGAACCTTAAAATTGGGTATCGTCGGCTTCCTCTCGTCACGGGGAACACGCTCGTATTTCCCGCGAAGCTCTAGCTCGATCATGGGCCAAACACGAAGGGGTCGTACCATCTTGTGCCGTCGAAGGACGCAAAATGGCCGGAATGGCCTGTGCCGGCGAGGGTTAACGCGCTCATATGGGACATGTATTGCCATGGGCCGGGTTTGTTGTGGCGTGGTGATGTGGTGACGTAGATTCTGTCTGCTATCGAGGTCCCGGCATGGTGTTACTTAGCGCGGGGTACGGACCCGACCGTTGCGCCAAGTGCGCTGAAATTTGCGCAACTTATACGTGCCTTTGGGCAACGTCCCTTTGAGGGTCTCAGCTCGATCGGATTGATAGCGAGCACATGACGCGTGCTCAAAAAGTGCAAATTCGCGTTATGGACTTTACATGTATGTATAAATCGGCTTGCAAAATCGGGCGAAAATGACTAAATTTGCCAGACACTGGTCCGGTCCCCGTGCAGTATCTCGGTAACCGTGGGCCCAATCGCCACGTGGTATCGTGTAGAGAATCGAAAGGGCTATCGAATGGTGTGCGGTGCAGGGATGGCACGCGCCACGTGCACCCGTGAGGGCACTTATGCTGGGAAATTTAC